GGCACGTTCAGAATTGCAGACCTCATATCGCATAGATGGCACGTTCAGAATTGCAGACCTCATATCGCATAGATGGCACGTTCAGAATTGCAGACATTTTGGTGTCACACATTCCCAGAATTGAAATGCACGCCAACTGACACTTCATACCACCATCCCACGTCACATCGTCACTTGTTAAACACATGGGGTCTCAGAACATGAGAGAACATGCGTGGATCTTTCAGATCACGGTACCAGGATGAGCAGCATGGTTATAAACCTTATAAATTAAGACACATTATCTCTGATAAATGCAATTTGTTCTAGCAGACTGAAAATTTCATGACCTTGTTTGCATATCAATACATTTATCAAATTCATTTCAGTTCTTTTTTTTGGGCTCCCCGCTCTAGTTCAGGGTGCTCCAGGAAGTCAGGGAGGATTTGCAATTCTGTGCCACACTTGGCTGACTTTAAATAAGGAGCCGTGTATTCATAACCCACAGACAGAGACCTCTGGGCTGCAGGGACACATTAATAGTTGCAATGACGGCGAAGATGAGGGGGGGCATGACCTCATGCCGACTTGGGAGACACTGAAGCCCCTGGTGTCAGCTTGCAATTCAGCCTCATATCCAGCAGGCTTTATGGTACATGCTGGCAGGGGCTGGGAATCCGGCTGCCCCCCTCGCCTTCCCTGGGGAGGTGACCTGGGCAAACTTAACAGCACAGGTGCATTCTGGTCTAGAGAAGAGAGAATAGCTTTGGCCCTTCGATGGTGATGAAAGCTGGAGAAATGGCAAGACGTCCAGCTTTGGCTTGTAAACACGCTGAATCACCGCGCCAGACTGGCTCCAAGGAGCAGCACGTGTGTGTGTGTGTGTGTGAGTGTATGTGAGTGTCTGAGTCTCTGATAGTGTGTGTGAGCGGGTATACCTTACCTTGTGGGGACCAAATGTGTCTGTGTGTGTGACCAAATGTCCCCACAACGTGATGAATACCCATTTTTTTTTTAACTTATAGGAACCAGTTTCCTGGGGGGTGGGGGGTGGGGGGGGGGGGGGCTGCAGACACTGTGCTATGAATTGAAACCCGTCAGCAGGAGTAATCTTGTGAGACAGATCTCTTACAGAAATTATTGCTGAGAAAATACTGATGGTCTGTTTGCTTAGTTACTACAAAAGCAGCGAAGTGACCATGATGCTCTTCTGCTTGCTTTTATTAATAAAATGACTGCTGGCTTCATTGCTCTGTGCTGTCACACTTACTTCTGTTCATTATATATTCATTCACACTTAAATACTTATTCCAGCACTTTGACATAATTTTTTACACACACACACACATACACACACACACACACACACACACACAAACAGTCACACACACACACACAGACCCATACAAACACAGACACACATGCACACCCCTCCCCCCCGCAGACTGAGGCCTCTGACAGGCTCTCTCCTCCTTCTCTCTCTCCTCCTCCTTCTCTCTCTCCTCCTTCTTCTCTCCCCTCTTTCTCCAGGCCTCTCTGTGTCCCTGCAGCTTCTCCATGGCGACATGGAGCACATCCGCAGGGAGTATATGGCCCTCTTCACCTGCGGCATCACCATCACCAGGAAGCTGGGCTTCTCTGACGTCATCATGCCAGGTGGGCCAGCCTGCCCCCCCCACTCCACTCGGTAACCTCTGGCGTGACCCCTGGGGTGGGATTACATCCACCCCCCCCTCCAGTCCAGGTGGCCCTGCAGCTCTCTGCCTCGCCGGCTCTGAGACGCTCTTGTGGGGGGGGGGGAGCCCCCCACCGCCACACAGCTGTTCTTCCTTCCGATCCAGCGCGACCAACAACGGCGCTTCTCAAGTGACTCTTAATTGCCTTTCCTGTCGCCGTTCTCTTCCGCGGGAGCTTTGCTAAGGGTGCCATTCTTCCCCGGCCTTTAATACTGAAATGTGTTTGACCAGGAAATTGTGCCATTTCACCGGCGCTGGTGCGTGTGCGGCTGAGCACGGCCACCGGCTGCTCTGCCGTTTCTACCCTTGCTGGAATATGTTCAGCCAGAGTCCTGCAGGCACTCGAACCTCCAGCTTCTCCATCTCAGTCTCAGCACATCAATCGGCATCATGGCGGAAATGGCAGCCCATAATAAACTCGAGCGGCTGCTGAGCCCCTTCTGGCCACGTTCTGTGACTCGGCGATCCATGGGGCTGACTTTGCAGCGTGTTTGTATGTGTGTGTGTGCGTGGGTGTGTGTGTTTGTATGTGTGTGTGGGTGTGTGTGTGTTTGTATGTGTGTGTGTGCGTAGGTGTGTGTGTTTGTATGTGTGTGTGCGTGGGTGTGTGTGTTTGTATGTGTGTGTGTGCGTAGGTGTGTGTGTTTGTATGTGGGTGTGAGTGTGTTTGTATGTGTGCGTGGGTGTGTGTGTTTGTATGTGTGTGTTTGTATGTGTGTGGGTGTGTGTGTTTGTATGTGTGTGGGTGTGTGTGTTTGTATGTGTGTGTTTGTATGTGTGTGGGTGTGTGTTTGTGTGTGTTTGTGTGGGTGTGTGTGTTTGTATGTGTGTGTGCGTGGGTGTGTGTGTTTGTATGTATGTGTGCGTGTGTGTGTTTGTATGTATGTGTGCGTGTGTGTGTGTTTGTATGTGTGGGTGTGTGTGTTTGTGTGTGTGTGTGTGTGTGTGTGTGTTTGTATGTGTGCGTGTGTGTTTGTATGTGTGCGTGTGTGTGTGTGTTTGTATGTGTGGGTGTGTGTGTGTTTGTATGTGTGGGTGTGTGTGTGTGTTTGTATGTGTGCGTGTGCCTTTTTAAATTACCCAATTTATTTGAATAATCGTAACATTCAGATAACAACAAAAATAAGCTTTTTTTCTTATGCTTGTCAAGCATGTTAATGAATATAGAGAGCTGTGTGTCTGTGCGTGTGTGTGCCTGTCTGTGTGTGTGTCTGCATCTGCATGTTTGTGTGTGTGTGTGTGTGTGTGTGTGCGCGCATGTGTGTGTTTGTACAGAATATAAATGGCTGTACTGCACTGCCATGGCCAATTGCCCTCTGCTCCTTGATCCCTCCATCCTCGTTTCCCGGTGTTAATGTGCTCCTGCATCCTCGCCCCTTCTTCTGCTGTCCCCCCCCAGGTGAAATGAGGAATGATCTGTATATCACCCTGGAAAAGGGTGAGTTTGAGAAGGGCGGGAAGAGCGTGGCCAGGAATGTGGAGGTCACCATTTATGTGCTGGACTCGGACGGACAGATCATCAAGGTCGACTCTCGGCGTCATGCGCACCCATACTTTTGCTCGACGTGCACGTAGTGGCCCCTGACTCCCCCCCCCCATCTCTCGCCACACCCCCAGGGCTCATTATGGGAAGGTTCCGGAGAGCCGGGGGCTGACTCCTTCCAGTCAATCGTGCTCTATCACAACAACAGCCCCCGGTGGGCAGAGCAGGTCAAGCTGCCCCTTCCTGTGGACACATTCCGAGGGTCACATGTGCGCTTCGAGTTTCGCCACTGCTCCAGTAAGTCCAAGCCCCCCCCCCCCCCGCCGAAATCCCCACAGGGAATGCTGCACCTCTGAATGCGCCTGTTTAGTTTCTCATTCATATTTTATTAATAGTGACAAAAACTATAATACTGCTGTCGCTGGGGGGGCAATTGGGATTTCTCCGGCACTGGCTCCCAAGATGCGAGATACCGAGGTATATTTAATTATTAAGGCCAAATGTGATTTTGTTGGTGAGACCCGTAAGGTCACAGAGGCCAGGTTGTGTCCTTTTGCCAGGGAAAAGGTGAGAGTTTAGTGCCATCTCCTGGGATGAGGCCCTGGTCCAGGGCAGACATGGACAGAAGCAGCAAGAAAATGAGTTAATCCCTGACAGGAGCTGGAGGCTTTGTCTGGTGGCCTGTATCTCTGCGCTTATTAGTGTTCGCATTGTCTGAGCCCTGCTGCCTGCTGCCTGCTAAGTGCCACAGACAGTGGAGACAAATCCAATAGTGCTATCCTAGTCCAGAGCAGAACCCTTATCGGAGCAGGGCTGCGATGGTTCTGCCCCTGATCGGAGCAGGGCTGCGGTGGTTCTGCCCCTGATCGGAACAGGGCTGCGGTGGTTCTGCCCCTGATCGGAGCAGGGCTGCGGTGGTTCTGCTTCTGATTAGAGCAGGACCCTGGGCTGTCATTGGTGGCCATTGATGTAAATCTGGGCTGTGTACTCTAAGGCATAATGGAGTCACATTTAGTCCGTAGTATGAAACCAATTTCATGTCCATTTGTTCCAAAAATAGGTGACTCCCACAAAAATATACTGCAGTTCTGCACTGGCTGGATGGATTTAGAATATAGATTGGTGGATATTTATATATACACATAACATACTAGTCCCAATGAGCTGGACTTATGGTCCATGTGACCCTATTAAAAGAGAATACATCGAGAGGATGACTATTGATTGGTTTGACTGTTGAACAGCACTCTGTCATCACAATCAATCACGTTTAACCGCGGGCTACAGCCAGACAGCATTCCGTTCAGCATGAGTTATGAGATGATACGTAACGACGTTACCATTTATTACGTTATATGAGCCATTCTGAGATGCTGGATGTCATTTCTGAGAGGATGTGGCATCTTGTTCCTAGCAAAAGAGAAGGGAGAGAAGAAGCTCTTTGGCTTCTCCTTCATCCCCTTGATGCAGGAAGATGGACGGACATTACCCGATGGCACCCATGACCTCATTGTTCACAAGGTACGGTGACCTGAACACCCTCACACCGCTACACTGGTGTCACACAGCATGTAGAGTGTACGGGCTAACACAATTGCTAGATTTCTGTCTGTGCACTTCCCATGTTTCCTGGTCTTTCCATATGTACACTTCCCATGTTTCCTGGTCTTTCTATATGTACACTTCTCATGTTTCCTGGGCTTTCTCTATGTATACTCCCTGGACTTCCTGTTTGTACACTTCCCATGTTTCCTGGGCTTTCTATATGTACACTTCTCATGTTTCCTGGGCTTTCTCTATGTATACTCCCTGGACTTTCTGTTTGTACACTTCCCATGTTTCCTGGTCTTTCTATATGTACACTTCCCATGTTTCCTGGGCTTTCTCTATGTATACTCCCTGGACTTCCTGTTTGTACACTTCCCATGTTTCCTGGTCTTTCTATATGTATTCTTCCTGGGCTTCCTACAGTATACATGCACTTCCCATGTTTCCTAGACATTCTATATGTACACTTCCCATGTGTCCTGGCCTTTCTTTATGTATATTTCTTGGACTTCCTGTGCATTCACTTCCCATGTTTCTTGGACTTTTTATATGTACACTTCCTAGATTTCCTGCACTGGTTTCCTCTATCTGAAAGTGGAGTGTTCCTGTATGAAACCTCTCTTAAGCCAAAATGGCATAATGCTGAGGCAATTACCAGTAATTTATATGGGAAATTTTTCCGTGTTCCTAGACCACAAAAATAACCTATTAAATCATACGAAATAACACATAAAACTGAAAACAACACAAACATGTAGTAAAAGCAGGAATGATATGATAAATGCACAGGCTTTATAAAGCAGGAATAATGCACAAGTGTCGTTTCACTTACCAGAATCAATACAGTCATGCGTCGCGTAACGACGGGGATACATTTGAGAAATGTGAGAAATGTTTGCCAACTTCATCATTGTGAGAACGAGATTGTTCTTAGCCACACCTAGACAGCATAGCCTGTTACACCTGTGACCTATATGGTATAGCTTAAATTAAACGAAAAAAAATGCACTATACTAAATACATAAACCAGTAACATAGTTAATTATTATCATTATTGGGTATTAAGTACCGTACATAACTGTATGTGCTATAGTTTTTATGACTGGCAGTGCAGTAGGTCTGCTTACACCAGCATCACCACAAACATGTGAGTAATGCTTTTCACTATGACGCTACGATGGCTATGGCATTGCTATTCAACCTTGCTACAATCATCTGGGACAGCTGTCATACATGTCATGGCACATGACTGTATATCTACTGTATATCGCTGATAAACAGATGCTAAATGATATCTTCGCTTTTCTCCTGTTTTTTGCTTAAAGCGGAAATTGTCTTCGCATTTATTTTACTTAGCGAAATCAGGTGCTAATGTAGGTTTGTTATAAAAGCGAAGTGGCGTAAAGTGAATGTTCTTAAAACAGTGGATACCTGAATTTAAACTTCCAATATTTCCTGGACTTCCTGAATGTCCAGTTCCGGGCTTCTGCACTTCCCATATTTCCTGGACTTCCTGAATGTCCAGTTCCGGGCTTCTGCACTTNGTCCAGTTCCGGGCTTCTGCACTTCCCATATTTCCTGGACTTCCTGAATGTCCAGTTCCGGGCTTCTGCACTTCCCATATTTCCTGGACTTCCTGTATGTCCAGTTCCGGGCTTCTGCACTTCCCATATTTCCTGGACTTCCTGTATGTCCAGTTCCGGGCTTCTGCACTTCCCATATTTCCTGCACTTCCTGTATGTCCAGTTCCGGGCTTCTGCACTTCCCATATTTCCTAGACTTCCTGTATGTCCAGTTCCGAGCTTCTGCACTTCCCATGTTTCCTGGACTTCCTGTATGTCCAGTTCCGGGCTTCTGCACTTCCCATTTTTCCTGGACTTCCTGTTTGTCCAGTTGTGGGGCTTAATCTATCTACACTTCCTGGTCTTGCTGTGTCTGCACTTCCTCAGACTCCTAAGTTTTCTGTATCTGCATGTCACAATCTTCCTGGAATTCCCTGGCTTCCTGTACATGTACTTCTGGTCACTCTGCATGTGTGCATTCCTGTTTTGTGACCCTAATTGTGGCAGTTGTGTCAAAATAGTGAATCCCTGCCTTAGTTATATTGTTCTCTTCTCACAGATGATGATTTCTGCTGCTGCTCTCAGCCAGATGATTCCTGTTTAGTTTTTCCATTAGCATTTTTTGACTCTTTATTTGTAGGATTTGAGTAAATTATTTTTCTATTACTCTGTGTCTCTAAGTAAAAATCTGTTATTTTTGCCTGCTCTCTTATTTTTCAGAAATTTTTATAAAGTCATTTATCTGGTGTGTAGTCGTCCTAAAAGAATGTGTGGTATGTTTTTTCCACTGTATTTTCTTAAATCCCTGGCCTGAACAGTGTCGGCTCTTTGGCCGGTGCTGATGGTGACCACAGACCACGTCATCGCGAGCACATTATTGGACGTTTCTCCACACCTTTGTACAAAAGAATCATCTCAGCAGTCATTTGTGTGCCGTCATTTCTTATCCATCCATGTCAGAGTGCTGTAATTCTCCGGAAATGTCTCTGGAAAACGTTTCCCAGGAGCAGGAAAGGTTCATCATTTCTGTGGTGATGGAGCAGAAAAGAAATTACTAAGCTCATATTTGCATGACCTAATTTCTCAGCAAAAATGGGGCAGTTCATTCAATACATAACAAAAGACTCAGAGTCACTAAGAACTTTTGTGATTATATGAATATAACAGAAATTCTCATTGATAATGTAGTAGTTATAGTACAGTATTTGACTTTACTAATGAAATGCTTTACTAATTAAACTTTACTAATGGGATGCAATAACTGAATCCCTGTAAAGCACGGCAGCTTGGAGCAGCATGTGTGAGTGACGGTGTGTGTTGACTCTTCTCTCTGCAGTGTGAGGAGAACACCAACCTGCACGACTGCTCTCGATACCTCAAGCTGCTCTTCTCCAAGGGAAGCAGTCTCCCAGGGAACAGCCAGACTGCAAAAAGCAGCAAGGAGTCCTTCTGCATCACCTCGTACCTCTGCTCCACCAAGCTCACCCAGAACGGTAGGTGACGCTCTGTCCCGGTCACTTGGGTGGGACGCTGAGCAGCACATGCAAATATGTCACGAAAGTAAGACGTGGTAACATGGACCAAATTACTTTTTAAATTAAGAAATAATTAATAAAGTTACTAATTGTAGGAGAATGAATAGGCACTGCAGTTGGCTTCTGTAATATCACACACTAGATGCAGCGCATGACAAAACTCACACTTTCGGATCAGCATATGTGAGGGGCAAATATAACGTAATGGCTTTTTTATACGGCTTCTCTCATAGCCCTGTCCCTATATACCATAACGCTTTTGTCTACCACCCTTCTTCTGTCATCCGTATCTTTTTCTGCAAGGCCAGTATGCTCCCATACGTGTGAAGCTGCTGAAATTCTGCTGCTCCTGCAGTAGGCATGACTGTCACTGTCACAGCCGTGTTAAACGGGTCCCTTATACCCACACCTCCCTGCTTTTAGCCTGCCCCGTCTGTACGGATCACGGACTAACTGTGGTCCGTCACACCTCTGTCACACACTGAACTCCCTTTCTGAAGATGGCTTGAACACTTGAATCTCTCAGGAGAAGATGCAGCAATCATGTGATTATAGATAATAGGGGAGACTGGGGACAGTTGCTGAATTGGGGTCAGTTGTTTGAAGGGGGACTGTAATCTCCCTGCATAACTTATATTCCCCCAAACACCATGGATGTTTAGCAAAAGAGTACAACTTTACTTTGAAATGAAAACATGTTTTTTTTTCCATTGAGTCATTTTTTCTGTATTTTGAAAAATTGGAAATGGAAAAAAATATCCCTAGTCTCCTCTGTATATTTTTTAGAATGAAACATAAAAGGAGACATCTAAGCCGGGTTGGCATTTACATGCTGGGAGAAAAACAGCAGATATTTCTTCTTATCAAAAAGGTCCAGCTGATAGTGATACGTCACAGAACTAAACATGCAGCTGCTTTGTGGCTCATTACAAAAATAAAAGAAAGGGAAAAATAAAATTGTAACTTTGATGGCCAGTCTGTTTCTGAAGCTGGCTGCCGGTAAGAGCATCCACAACATCTGGTACTCACTGCAGGGGACATGCTAGATCTTCTCAAGTGGAGGACCCACCCTGACAGGGTGGGAGACAGCCTGTCCAAGCTGATGGAGATCGATGGGTCTGAGATCGTCAAGGTACCACCACCGAACACAGACTCCTGGCGGCGCTGGAGCTCTTTCCCTGCAGCTCCTCACATGACCTTGTTAATAGAATCTCTGCTTCTGTCTGCGGTTTAACTCTGTCTTATTTTGACCTCCACAGTTTTTACAAGATACGTTGGATTCTCTCTTTGGCATTTTAGATGAAAATCCTCAGAGATTTGGGTTGAAGGTGTTTGACTGCCTAGTAAGTACTATTCCTGTTTCATTTCAGAAGTTACCAATGCCTGTTAGTATCATGGAGGAGAGTTTAAATATAAAGAGGAACAGCTGTACAGCCGCTTCGATGGTGACAGGTATTTGAAGGCTACAGCCATGTTCTCATATTAGACGGACCAGGATAGGGGTCAGTCAGTGAAACAGCTGCAAAGCATCTTGCTTCATTGCTTCAATCAATAGGGCCTATATTTTCAGGGGGGGGGGGGGGTTGTGTGGCTCACTGGGTGCTGTGCCTGTTATCAGAAGGTTGCTGGTTCAAATCCTGTTGTTGGTAGAGTGATGTCACTGAATGGCCATTGAGCCCCATTGGCTCTAGGGACTTGCTCTAGGGACTGTTTTCTCAAATGTGCATCACGTTGGATAAAGCCATCTGCTAAATAACTAGATTTTGAGCAACCAAGCCCAGAATTTCCATAATCCAGTGGTTTCTCCTCAGTTTGTCTGACTGGCAACAATGTCCTTCTTTTTTGTTTTCAAGGTTCATATTATCAATTTGCTGCAGGACAGCAAATTCCAGCATTTTAAGCCAGTGATGGACACCTACATCGAAAGCCACTTTGCGGGGGCTTTGTCGTACAGGTACGCTTTGGCATTCCAGTGTCACTCAGATGATACACACCCCCGTAGAACGTAGCCATTGTCTGCTACTGGTAGATGTCTTTTCTCTGACTAGAATGTGTTTATTCCCCAGTTTGTGAGAGTAATTAATTGACAAGCAGTCAAAGGAGAATAAAAGCTGGTGAAGATGAATAAAACTCCATTGTCTCTGAATGACCGAGACGCCTGTTTGCTCTAAGCTCAGTCATTTGTGCAGCTGCCTGGTTTCTCGCTAATCTCTCTCGTCTAAAGAGGAACCATGGTTTCTTCATAGTGCTCGACCTTTGAAAGCCCTCTTTGTAAAGATGGCTTCACTGCCATTCTGCTGTGGTGAGGAAAGCTGCCAGCGTGAGTTAGTGTGGCAGGGTGTGCGGGGTGGTTGGCACGGCTGTGTAGGCACGATGCATGGTACAAACTATGTCGCTTTCCAGCATGGCGCTGATGACTGGGATGCTGATGATGGCTGCCAAAGTAATAACATTGATGATGCTTACTGCGACTATGACAACAATGATGTTGATGGACGACATTAATGAATATGTTTCATGGTGATGATGATGGTGACACTGTCCTTTGGGAATCTGCTACTGCTGCTGATGATGGTGATGATGATGATAATATGATGATGATGATGATGATGATGATGAAGTTGATGGAGATCCTACACTGATGGAATCTACTGATGGTGCTGGTGTGGATGATGGTGGTGGTGGTGGTTGTTATGATATTGATCTAATGATGATGATGATGATGGTGGTGCTTATGATAATGATGTAATGATGATAATGACGGTGATGATGATGATGACTATGATGATGGTGGTTGTGGTTATGATATTGATGTAATTATGATGATGACGATGTTGATTCATGATGATGGTGGTTGTTATGATATTGATCTAATGATAATGACGATGATGATGATGATGGTGGTTGTTATGATATTGATCTAATGATGATAATGACGACGATGATGATGATGACGATGATGATGATGATGATGATGATGGTGGTGCTTGTTATGATATTGATCTAATGATGATAATGACGACGATGATGATGATGACGATGATGATGATGATGATGATGATGGTGGTGCTTGTTATGATATTGATCTAATGATGATAATGACGACGATGATGATGATGACGATGATGATGATGGTGGTTGTTATGATATTGATCTAATGATGATAATGACGATGATGATGATGATGATGGTGGTGGTGGTGGTTGTTATGATATTGATCTAATGATGATAATGATGACGATGATGATGATGACGATGATGATGATGGTGGTTGTTATGATATTGATCTAATGATGATAATGATGATGATGATGATGATGATGATGATGATGATGATGGTGGTGGTGGTGGTGGTGGTGGTGGTGGTTGTTATGATATTGATCTAATGATGATAATGACGACGATGATGATGATGACGTAATTCATCCACACACTGTTGCCCCAATGGATATGTTGCTTCTGTCCAGGGACCTAATCAAGGTCCTGAAGTGGTACGTGGATCGCATCATTGACGCTGAGCGCCAGCAGCACATCCAACAGGTGCTCAAGGTGAGACCTCCTGAAGCAGGGGCAGCTTCCTCTGCTGCTCTGAACCGAGGCCAATTCTTTAGGATTCCAGTCACCTGCATGCTTTGTAATCCCTGCGGATCACTAGATCAGCACAAAATTTCCCATATTTGCTTTAGATTACGTTTGTTGAGATTTTTCTCCTCAACCTTTGTGCTCCTCCAGGCAACCGAGTACATCTTCAAGTACATCATCCAGTCACGGCGGCTGTACGCACTGGCCACCGGGGGGCAGAGCGAGGACGAGTTCCGCTGCTGCATGCGCGAGCTCTTCATGTCGCTGCGCTTCTTCCTGTCCCAGGACGGCAAGGCCGCCAGCCCCGTGACCCAGACGCAGGTGGGGCCTCATTCAGTTTGCATTCTGCCTGCATTGAGGCTGGTTCTGAACCAGCCAGGATCCGCTTTGCACTGTTTGCAGAGGAATAAGATCTCGCCTGAATGTAAGATGCATGAATGTGGCCGGGGGGGATATTTGGATTTCATGGCCGCACTCGCACCATGCAGACCTCTGTGAGCTCTGGAGGGGGGGGGGGACTGTTTGTTTACCCACTCATTTGGTGAGGGGATCCAGGCGGTGCTCCTCCACACACAAACCACCCCCCCCACCTGTCTCACAGGCTCTGTCTGCATCTGTGGCTGCCTACGGTAATATCTCTACACGACCATCAAAACCCCACTCATCTTAGGGGTCATTGTTGCCCTCAGTCAACCACCCATCAGAAGGCCCCGATATACACGCTGTGTACTGAGGCCCAGCTAACCAGTGCTATATGGCAAGTTACAATTTAGCCAGTAAAGCCAGTGGTAGGTGTGCGGGGTGGGGCTGAAAGATGGGGATTCTACCAAATGAGAGACATACCCAGACGAAAAGCAGAGCGATCCTTGTTGCTGAGGCTTTTAGGGCACCGGGAAAGTACAGACAGCCTCCTTTTACATTTTCTGCTGTCCTGGTTACTCTTTGACAGCTGCTGTCCCTCATCATGCTCGTGGCACAACGCCGTTCAGCTCAGAAAACTTCCAGAAATCCTTCATGAAATTCACAGCCTAATTAGTGCTTGTGTTCTATTCACTTCATGGACATTTCACTGCTCTGGCCTCCGCGCCCTGCCTTTTATGCACATCCCTTTAATTGCATGTACCTTTAAGAACATGGACACATAACGTGAGCAGAATGGGAATTGAGAAGGGTAGTAGGTCTGTCCTCCGGTTTGCCGGAAGCCCTCACCACACTCAAAGGTGTCTGTCCGGTCCCACAGGCAATTTTTCTAAAGAACTTCCCAGCCATGTACTGCGAGCTGCTGAAGATCTTCACTGTGTGCGAGGTGGCCGGCTTTGTGCGTGACACGCTGGGCAGTCTGCCAATTACCAGTCAGGCAGACTGCCCCTTGGAGGCCGTCAAGTTACAGTGCATCGCCAAGACGGTGGAGAGCCAGCTGTACGCCAACCACGGTGCGTGTGGTGGAGGGTTAGGGACACGTGAGGGTCATGTGGGGGGGAGGGGCATGTGGGGGGGAAGGGCAGGGACACGTGAGGGG